TAGGAGAGATGTGAGTGAGAGAGGGCGGCAGGGAGGAGATAGCTGCGGGATAGAGGAGAGAGAAATTTGCTATAAAACCCTAACTAAAGCTATGAATTATTAATTCTTATTAAATTATAGTTGTGTATAGTGAATGCATATCACATGTTTGCCACATTACATAACTTTCCCTAAAATCTAGCCTTAAAAATCTAAGGAATAATCTATCTAAAAACATACAATAGTTGATCTTTTTTCAATATAGAATCTTTTTCCAGTAGGATATTCCAATATAAAATCCCCCCTCCCCAGGAGAGAGAAAATTTGTCTTTCGAAAGTAGGTTTCTTCTTGTATCCACTCAAAAAGATCAGGATGTATTGCCACCCATCACTAATCACATAGCATCTTGTGGTGGTTGATCCTTGAAGAAACAACGTGCACGTGCGAACTATCCGTTTATAATGGTCCGGATTCGCATTTGTATTAGGGTCTTACAAAACTTCAACATTGTCTCCAACTTTCTCAGGTTATCAGTCTTTCATTTTATCATTTACCCTGCTTGAAGAAAAAGAGGGCCAGTTGAAAGGTATAAAATATTATCTAAAAGATCCAAGTATAGTTCAGTTGGTGCCTGGGATAGCTTGCGTGCACCTTGATCAATTCTACTGGAAACATGCTACCTCCTACTAGCACAAGTATCGGGTAACTATGTTTATTGGGCTTGGATAGATGGGATGAAATCACCTAGTGTTTTTTCTCCTCCGCTAGGATTTGAACCTGAGACCTCATGTTGACATTTTATGACACATGTTAAGGTCTTACATAAAGAAAGGTAGGAAGTGGTTTCTCTGTCAAAATTTGGTCTATATCGAAGTTATGGTTGGAGAGGAAAATTAAATCCTGTTTGCTGTTTGAGACCCCCTGCTTTTGGGAGTATACTGGGTTTTTGTTGTTGTTGTTTGCTTTTTGAGACCCATAATTTTGAGGTTTGGATACCAGTTACTGCAAAACCAGAGAAATTATACATCTGCTGATTGATTTCGTACTTCTCTTGGCATAAGTTCAGAGGTTATGTCACAGACTCGCAGGAAACTATTTCTGTAAAGCATTACTCATCTAATTCTCCTTGCTATGCTCATCTGTGTTAGAAACCTGTTTGGTTCAGTTACTATTCATCACTTAGGCCATTACCTTTCACATCCTGTTGTGATGATTCATTTTCAGTTTTAATGTGTCCATGTATCTCCATGCAGGCCGTAGATGGAAGAATCCCAGTTCCTGTGCACACCTCTAATAGCAGTGCTACATCCTCCGCAGGACCTGCTTCTTCAACAGTGAGTTCTTAATCTGCTAGACCTTACTATCCATTTGCAGCTTGTGAATAACCAACGAGGATTCACTTCTGAAACATTGTTTATCTGTTATAGGCCACGGGCCGTTCACAGAACCAAACCGTGGTTGTTCAGAACCCTATGTCTTTAGATGAAAGTGGCAAGTTGGTGAGTTTCTTTAATTTCAACCTCTGTTTCTTCTATTTATCTTTTACTGTTCACATCTGATTCATTTCTTTCTTGTGCTTTATTAGAGGTAAGTATTTCTGACACACAATTTTACATCTGCTAGGTGAGCAATGTTGTTGTTGGTGTGACAACGACGACTTAGGAATTATCTGTAAGGATTAAGATTCCTATGTCTGTGAAATGCACCTAACTGAAGGCAGTAATGTTTTTGCTTGCTTCCATTGGATCGATGAATATAAATGTGGTGCTATATAGATATGGTAATATTTAGTCCTATAGTATTAAAGCATTTCTAGATTGAAGAAGTGTACCAAAGGTCTGACCATTTGTTTTGTGGTAACATTGCCAAAGTGATTGAACATTTAGGCTTTAGTAATGTTGATTTTCTGGAGTCAGTAAATGTTACCAAATTAGATTCTGTGGTGTGAATACGCCTGATGATCCAAGTACAGAATGTTGATATGTATCATTTGTCCTGATGTCAATAAAATTTAATCAACTTGGTGGGTGTGATCTTGACGTAACTGCTCTTGCGACTGCTTTTGAAAATAAAATGTCTTGGAGATGTGTGTAACTTTAGATAGTTGGGAATGAATCATCTATTCTTTTTTCCCCTCTACTTTGATTCAAACCCTCGTTTGATATAGTTTTTGTTTCAGGCTTCCTCAGGGGCGGGTCGATAGCCTTATAAAAAAGGCACCTTTAAGCCCTCAAATTTGAAGTGTCTCATTTTCTTTTAGCGATAATAGAATATAGATAAAAAAAATATTAGAAAAAAATACTATTTATAACTAAGATTATTTTTTGGAAAAATTACTTGGATGTGTATCTTTTAATAAATAATTATTGATTTTAGCGATACTTTTTATTTATTACCATTTAGAGCAACACTATGATAAATCTGCAATATGTATTAAAAGTGATTATGTATGCAATTGTAACTGTTTTAAAATATATTATGCTTGTTTGATAAAAAATTGACACATTGTGTTAAAATGTGTGATAAGTGTATTATCCATCAATAAAACTTGTATTATATGTGTTTTATAAATCGTTCTTTGTAATATGTATTAAAATTGTATTAAAAGTGATCAAGTGAAAAAAATGTTATTGTTATAAATGGTAACTATTTTCTTAATATAGGATATTTATGTAAGTTTGCCTTTTTTCATATAAAAGGAGAGAATTATTAGAAGTTTAACATAGTTGGAGTAAAGATTATTGTTAAAAGAAATCAATTGTAATTATTTTTTTAACAATTATGCATCTCAAAGAGCTAAAAGGACAAAATTCATAAGCAAATATATTGATTTATTTTTTATAGTTTAAGCCTTAGGTCATGTGCTTGAGCCCCCCACCCCCTACACACACCTCGAGCTTCGTGGATTATTCGGCTACATTGATGAGTGTTTGGTTGATGTTTGTTAATCTCTTTCGTTTTTTTTCTTTTTTTTTTTTTTTGTGGCAAGTTCTCCCATTTATTATTTTTGAAGTCTTTTATTATTGTTCTTTGTCTCGACCTTTCTTTATTGACATCATCATATGCTAATTATATTTTTGAGCTAAAAACTTTACTAGTTTTTAGTGTTTTCTATAGCTTTAAACGACTTATACTCATCAATTGTTCAATTATAATGAAACTCTTTTTAATTTGTCTTTTCACTATAAAGAATAAGGCTGTGCCGCCTTTAAATTTGTATCAATATTTGGAAGTCTAAGAATGAGGGACAAGGGGATTGATCAACAAATATCTTTTGTTCTTTTTCTATATAAGATCTCCATTGAAATAAGGTATGCTACAAGTGAATATTGCATCAAGAAATGAATTTGAATTAATTCGGATATGCATGATCGAAAGATGGGGCAACTTTGTCTTCGCCTTTACTCATGCACTCGTTTAAGATAGGATGAAAGATATACCGTGTTAATTTTATATAGTGTTGTTCATGGTATGATTTGGTTGGTTATTTTATAAAATCTATATCTTACAATTTTTTGATTATTTTATTTTCTATAATTAAAATTATATTTTTTGAAATTGTTTTGTCTCAATTTCTCTTTAGTATTGGTAGGATTTGATAAATCTGTGGTATTTTTAAATTAAAAAGTAAGGTAAGAGTCGCAAGTAAAAATTAGGACATAATATCATTGTATACTTCTGTTTGACCATGCTGTATGGAATCATGATATGGATTCATGATATAATATCATAATATGAAATCATGAGATGAAAATGAAGGTTTGTTTGGATATGCGATATGAAATTTGTGTGTTGTATATATTCTCATAAATATAAGAATCCTATAAGTTGTAAAATTATTAAAATATTCCAATTGTTTATTCAATCTTGCCAGATAAACAAAAATTTATAAATCGCACAATAAATTATTACAAAGCTATTTGTTCTCCATTTAAGTAACTGTTTTGTCTAATTTTAATTGATCAAACTTTAATCAATAAAAAAAAAATTGAACATAAAATTGTAGTGTACTAGTTTTTATATATAGTACGGACAATCTCCTCACGCTGAACTTGCATTTCTCGATCATATGACCAAGAAGACGAACCAACATTATTACTTTGAGCCATTTGTTGGTCAATATCATCCGCAACTATATTTTCATGCTCATAGACCATAAATATTTCATCACTTCTTTGGTATTCTCGCAAATAATCATGTGACACTGTACAAGCTATGACAATTTTCACTTGTGTGTCAATATCATAGTGATTCATGCGTTGTTTTACTTGTGTGCAATTACACATTTTCAGTGCATTAATTTCGTGCTAAAATCAAACATACTAGAAGTAATAATTATCAAGCATATATCACCAATTTTGTCCTTTTTCATAATAAATTGTTTTAAACATTTTCATATGTAGCCGAAAAATAAGTTTTATGTTATCATGAAAAAAATAAATTACTCCCTCAGTTCTTATTTGTATTCACCAAATCAATTCCTAGTTTATCATTTATATTCACCAAATTTAAAGTGATAATGAATTTTATGTTGGTGAGAATAATAAATTTTAAAAAGTAATGATGTGATTATAAATTTTATTTACATATGAAATAAATGGTTAGTAGATATAATGTGAGGTTATTTTAACGAAATATAAATTTGTGAGTCAATTTTTGTATTTAAAAAATCTCAAATCATGATTTTTGGAGAATATGAGATTCTATCTCATGATATAAAATCATGAGATGGAATCATCATAAAATCGCATGTCCAAACGCTGATTCCATCTCACGATTTCATATTGTGATATGGTATCGCATGCCAAACGCCTACTTAGGATTTTGGCAAAATTCTCTAGACATTTAACTATTTATAAAGTGAGAATCAAGAGAATATGAAATATGACAAGAATAGAGATGCATCATCACTATTTTAATGTCATGTAAAACAAAGTTAACTAATAAATAAATAAAAATTACACGAATAGAAAAATAAATCAAGATGGAACTCGAGAAGTAAGTATGTGAAAAATAAGTATTCAATAACATAAATTAATATCTGTAACACCCCGAAAATTTCTAAGTTAAATCCAAATCATTCTTGAATTGTGTATAAGGTCGTATTGAGTGACTCTTAATTTTTCTTAGGTGTTAAGGTAATTCTTTAGTGTGAGAATGACTTTGGATATCAATTAAGATCACTAGAAACTCATAGCACAAAGTAGAGTTGAAAGTTTCCTTACCGATTAAGTTTTGACATAAGCTTTTACTTAGATCAAATTAAAAAGACCATATCTCTTACAATATAAAGATTTACATGGCTCATAACTGATCAAATTAAAGATATTTGAATACTCTTTCCAACGCCGCCAATTTCGCGCCAATTCAATTTTTGAGTAAAAAGTTATGACCATTTTAGTAACTGGTGTAGTGCAGTTTCGTTTTAGCCGCGGGAAAATTCTAAATAAGGTAATTTCCTTCTCCTTATACCATTTGAAAAACCTTAAAAACTGATTTCTTAACTACTATAAAGCCCTAAACAAGCCTATTTCCACCTTTTAATCCATCATTGTCTTCTCTCTCAAACCCTAAGGCAAAACACTAAAGAAAAATCAAAGTAGAAGACTCCATTCAAGATTCTTCTTCAAGGTAAGTTTTTCTCCAAAAATTCCATTATTTCCAACTCAAAGTCCTCCATACAATTATGAATCACTAATGAAAATCATAAATCTTGGCAATAGAGATTTCAAGAAACTAATTCAAAATTTTAAAGAAAGGTTTTCTTGAATATTTACCTTCAAGGTAGGGTTTCAAGTCTTCAAATTAAGTTCTTCTTCAAGATTCTTCAAGAACCTTGTTCTTTCAGGTATGAAAGACTATCATAGTGTTGGACTAGTTCTTCATCACGCCCTACATCTACTTTCAAATCAGTAAAAGAGAAATCTAGGATTCTACCCCTAGATTTGAGTATTCTTGAGATAAGTTGATTTTGAGTTTTTGAATTCCTGATTCTTTTGAAATTCTATTCCTAAGTATTGAATTTCTATATTTTTATTGAGATTCTTGAGTTAAATTGTTCATGTCTATAATTCCGCATGAACCCTATGAATTGAGTTATAAGTCTTGAGAGTCTTTGAAATCCAATCATTGTGTTTCAAACTGAGTTTTGAGAAAAAAGTTTTAAAGGTTCTATTTCATAAAGTACTTAAGAGTTTATAATATTTTATTCATATATATATTCATATACATGTGTACCTATGTTAATTATTGGACTTGAAAGATAAGTTCATAAGTGTATGTTTTCAAGAAGGTAAACACGTCTCATGTTTTTGAAAAGTATTTCAAGTAATGTAAGAAGTCCATTCTTTGTAATGGGTGAATTGAGCACAAAGTTATATTATTTATTTTGGGAGTAGTATTGAGCACCGAGTTGGGTTAATTTCTTTTATGATTCGAAAGTGTAACAACCCGGAAATCTAGTAAGACCAAGCTAGAGTCTAATGGAAACTAGTAGGTGAAACTAGAGCCTAACGTGTGAGCTTTTGAGTTTGATGTTTGATTTTAGGTTGTATATTTAGTTCTCGAGCTTAGGTTGAGGAGTCTAGGGGTTAAACGTCAAGGTACAACCCCCCAAAGACCAACCAAGGTTCCTTGGGGAGGACCCTAAAGTCTAACCCCCCAAGGCTGCCTAGGTTCACCAAAGTTGCCAGAATCTTGTGATCTACGGATGCAATCCACGGCTAGTGGATTGATCCACGACTCGTGGTCTTGCTCCATAGGTCAAGGCCACCAAGTCCATGCTGTAGACCCAAACCACAAACCCACAATACGGGGCGTGGTCCCATCCACGGTCCGTGGATGGGGTCTCGTGGGTTGCACCTGTAAGTTGTCCAAACATCTCGGCCAAGGTAAGTAATTTCCAACTAATTCCTTTTTAATTAGTTTCCATTAGGGGTCGTTTAATATGGTAATTATACATGTATATAAAGTATTTTAAGTCCATAAACACCTCATTAATTCATTATAACCCAAGACCCTAAATCAAAACCCAACTACTTCCTT